TTGCACCATGAATCAATATTAATTAATAACCATGTCACGATATAAGAGTTGTTTCCACCATGTCACAACAAAAGAGTTGTGTTTCCACCATACTATATCGATTTATAAGGGGTAATGCTTGGCTTAATAGTTTGCGAGAGGTAATATTCAAATAGGCAAATAGGCACTAATAGTTTAGGGGTAACTGAAAGTACGAGACTCCATTCAAACATAACAATATATATTATAGCATGAAACATTATGGGTGAAGTGATTATAAATATGAGTAAACAACAATGAATATATAGACTGAATAACAACTTACATTATAAAGACCATAACGACGAGCTCTTGTCAAGTCAAGAGTAGCCCCAGACCAGACTAACTTCGGAACCCTCAGATCCAATATTTATATACATCATTTTATTAGAAATGCACGTTTCTCATGAGAGTTCCTTGGTTAGTTTTTATAATTCAATGTCAACGGATGATTTGATTTACTTTATGTTTATAAAACCCTCATGGTTAGAAATTACTGATATACCGTATGTTCTACTCGTGACATGACCCCTCTCTCCGAGAAAACTGGACCCCAGTTTTGAAATTACTACCTAACTTAAATATATGGAGGAGAACATTTAAAATTCATTTACATATACAAAAAATTTCAGAAACCAAATATCCACAAACATTCGAAATTTAGTGTCTTCAATGCACACTCACACCTTTACTAAGTCCGGCACTGGCTATTCAACAAAAGCATTTCAATCAGACTCTTCTCGGTGAGACTCCTGGCAGCTTGGGGGTAGGGAATGACGATTGGGCATGGCATCCTCCAATCGTCATGGGAATTTCGGCAGGATCCTTTTGGGCTCGAAGGTATCCTTGTCCTGGGCATCGGGATGAAATCTTTTGGGCTTTAAGATTTCTAAGCCTGTCATTCGAGGTAGTTGGCAGCTGAACGAAGGGAACTGCTGGGTTCTTGGGGTAGCGAATGACGATTGATGGGCATCCTTCAATCGTCGTGGGAATTTTGGGGGGATCCTTTTTGGACTCGAAAGGTATCCTCGTCCTGGGCATAAGGGTGGAATCTTTTTGGGCATCAAAGATTATTGGACTCCTTCCGTTCTGGGCTGGTACTCTGAAGTAGGAATCTTTTGGGACTTAAGATATCCTGGCTTCTAGTATAGGCCGGTCTCTTGGAGGTAGTTGGCAGGTAAGTAAGAAGAATTGCCAGATATCTTGACAGTTGCTGTGATAACTGGTAGACCACTTGGTCCATGAGAGTAACGATGAATTTCCGTCATTCCTGTGGTTCCTCAGGCTATCCACAACTTGTGGCAACTCGTGGCATTCCTACGGTTCTCCTCTCTGTTCTTGGGCTACCCAGCAGCTACCATCGAATCATGCTGTAAAGTCAAACTTTCCTTGTTTGGCCATCTGGCTGCGTGGCTGCATCCCCCTGGGTGTCTGATCTCTTGATGAGTGTTGTGACACCTTTGGTTCAAGTTGCATGTTGTTGATATAGCAGTTAATATTCACTTAGGTAAAATAATGAATAATGCTCCAAATAACACAGGAAAGGTTGAAATATTATATTATGAAAACCGAACATTATTGATAAGTTTCAAAATAGATAGTTATTTATGATTTTTTGGAAATAAAATAGTTAGAGTGATCGGTTCCTCGAAAAATGTATGAAGTTATTGAAGTACTTCTATTATCTAAATATTGTATATAATATAAATCAATAAAAATTAGGATAGATTCTCGAACTAGGATTCATATTTAAGAAGTTTGAATGAAGAAGATATATATGATAGATCTCACAATAGGCTAATCATATTCTAGTATAGGTTATTTGAACTATTCATTGGATAATAATCGAGTTAAATAGAAGAATTCCCCATTTTAATGTAAATAGTAACGTAGGTATTTGATAAACAATTTTTTTGCATGTATTCACGGCATCATACAAAACAATGCACGCACACTGAGTACTGGCATACAACAGTCATCAAGAAATCAGACACCCAGGGGGATGCAGCCATGCAGCCAAATGGCCAAACATGGACAAACCAAGGACTCTTTGACTGTACAACATGATTCGATGGTAGCTGGGTAGCCCAGGAACGAAGAGGAAATAAGTGGGAATGCTACAAGTTGTGAATAGCTCATAGAAATTTGACGTTGGGAGATCACGAAAATCATTCCACGAGATTCCTGATCAGCCCCTGATATGACGGTAATTTGTCGTTGCCGCCCATGGACGTCTACTAGCTTCATTGATACGAATGGACCAGGATGTTGTACCATCATGACAACAACTGCCCATCAGTCGTCATTCGCTACCCCAAGCAGCCAGCAGTTCCCTTCGTTCAGCTGCCAACTACCTCGAATGACATAGGAAATCTCATCCCAATGCCCAGGACAAGGATACCTTCGAGCCCAAAAGGATCCTGCCGGTATCCCCATGACGATTGGAGGATGCCATGCCCAATCGTCATTCCCTACCCCCGAGCTGCCAGAAGTCCCACCGAGAAGAGTCTGATTAAAATGCTTTAGTTGAATATAGCCAGTGCCGGACTAAGTAAAAGTGTGAGTGTGCATTGTAGACACTGAACTTCTGAGTGTGTGACCTCAATTTTCAAGATATATTGTTTTTTTTTGTCATTTTTGAATCTTTGGTATATGTTCTCCTCGATATTTTTAGTTAGGTGATAATTTGAAAACTGGGGTCCAGTTTTCTCGGAGAGAGGGGTCATGTCACGAGTAGAACATACGGTATATCAGTAATTTCTAACCATGAGGGTTTTATAAACATAAAGTAAATCAAATCATCCGTTGACATTGAATTATAAAAACTGACCAAGGAACTCTCATGAGAAACGTGCATTTCTAATAAAATGATGTATATAAATATTGGATCTGAGGGTTCCGAAGTTAGTCTGGTCTGGGGCTACTCTTGACTTGACAAGAGCTCGTCGTGATGGTCGTTATAATGTAAGTTGTTATTAGGTCTTTATATTCATTGTTGTTTATTCATAATTGTTATCGCTACCCATAATGTTTCATGCTTCATTAGATATTGTTATGTTTGAATATAGTCTCGTACTTTCAGTTACCCCTAAACTATTAGTGCCTATTTGAATATTACCTCTCGCAAAATATTAAGCCAAGCATTACCCCTTATTAATAGATATGGATGGATTAACCAACTATTCTATCGTAACATTGTGGTAACATCTCTTTTGTTGTGACAGTATTACGAAAAAAGAAATATGTGATACAAAAAACAAAATAATATAAACAGAAATAAAAAAATAAAATATAGAATAAAAACGTCGCCGTTTTGAAGTTAATCTCAACTGATTGCTATTTTTCAGTATTTTCTCAGCTGGGCAATCTGAAAATATAATCATTAATCCTGGAGAATTTCCTATTCATTATACCTATCCAGACTCCGTTTTTGTAACTTCTAAACATTGAAAAAAAAACACTGGCCGAGAACAGACGGTCTTGAAGCTAGTTGTCGACCCCATGAATTCTATAGAAATATGTGCTGGCTGACAAGTGGCTCACCTATCCTCGGCCATATAAAATGCATATTATAATAATTACCTACATCGATATAAAGAATTTTGGTGGCCAGAAGCTGGCTACAGAATCAACTTCTACAGTACCTCCAAAAAGGACAGAGCGATAGGTGTCTGAAGTATTTGACGCTGGAATTGAAGAACCACGAATTGACTTCTTATTATTCCAGTTCTCGGCCATCACTCAATAAAAAGAAAAAATCGTTCCTTTTCAGTTTTCTCGCATTAAAATGAAAGAACATGTTTAGATAACTCCTACGTTCAAAATTTTTAGTATATTTAGGTACATTTGACAAAAACTTACGGTTGAAAAAATTGTGCCACACTATTTTCATACAACTGAGCAACGCCCGAGCACCGGTTACCCCGACCACCATTATCTGAACTGATAGAGTTTGAATAATTGTATTGGCAGCAGAGCAAAGCAAAATGGCGGGAAACGTGTGGCTGCAAGTTTGGCGGGACTTTCGAATGTGAGGTTATATTATTTCACTTATTATTCCATGAAAACGACGAAAACGGCCCACAACTGGAAGTGGCCGGCTAACTGGCACAATCACCCTACCCTTAATGTCTATTCCATAGATAAACTACACTCTCTCAGATGGCCAACGCACATGTTAACCTCTTGTTCCGTTTTCGCCATCAGCGCCTCTAGTGTTTGGTGGCGCAACTATTTCGAACAGCGGGAATTTTGAATAATTCATGATATTTCCAAATGTTTGACATAATAAGAAGCTTTCGTGAATAGTGAAAGGTGAAATATCATGAGCCCTTTATGCTTTCATCTTTTCCCACAATTTACAGACACTAAAATGAAAATGGTCGGTAAATGAGAAAAAGTTATCTATCATACTTTTTTAATTAGGTTATACATAAACACCTTTAATGATCACAATGAAATATAACTCATCAATTATCACAGGATCTTCAAACACTTTATCCTCTCCATTTACCTGAGATTGTCTCTCCTGAAATTTGAAAAACGATGTCCGGAGAGAAAATATCAATATCACGTCCTGACACTGCACACTATAGTCGTGTCTCATCATAAACTTCACTATTGTTCGAATCAAAAGTAAACTATCGTTGATTGATTTCTTCAATCATGATTGAAAAATGAAGTAATAAATCGAGAACATAACTTGAAACGAAAACAAACGCACTTCTAGACGGAAAAAATCACAACATTCACAACAAAGAAATGTCAATCGTCATTCGTCGAACAATAGGCAATGAACTCAATATAAACAACCAATAGCTATATGAACGTCATTTTGAAATCAATGCCTGCGCCGGCGTACTATCAGAGATCACGGATCATTATGTCAAATGGTCACCTATTGTTTGGTGGCTAAACTAGAAAATGGAACAAGGTCGTTCCATTGAAGTTGGAGGTCTATTATAGAGCGTAGTTTGTTTATGCCATGGTCTATTCTGCTGTTCCAGGGCAACGCTGCGGGCGACCGGGGCATCCTGTGGGTGCGCGCGCGCATCCAGCGCCACCTGCGCTCTCTGGGCGACATCCTCGACGCGCACGCCGGCAAGTTCCTGTTCGTCAGCCTGCTCGCCCTCGCCACCTTCTCCGTCGGCCTCAAGAGCGTCACGTGCCACTCGGACATCGAGCTGCTGTGGGCCGAGCCCGAAGCAGCGCCCGAGGCGGCGCCCGCCGAGATGCTCTCGACGCACCAGATGATTGTGCAAACAGGTGAGAATTTTCACTTAATATTGTCACGAGTAGAACATACGGTATATTATTAATTTCGAACCATGAGGGTTTTATAAACATAAACGTTAATCAAATCATATGTTGACATCTAATATATAAAATTCTCCTGTCCCGGTCACGGTGTTAGTGGTCGAACTCCTCCGAAACGGCTCGACTGATTCGTATAAAATTTTTTGTGCGTACTCGGTAGGTATGAGACGTAATCTATTTTCCAAATCGAAAATCCAATATGGCGGACCCAATATGGCGGACGAGTATTGTTATCCGATTTCATTCAAAATCAGTATTTGCGGGTTTTCGGGGTCGGAGATTATGATTCTTTCGTCAAATTTTGGGAATTCAAGATGGCGGATCCAATATGGCAGACGAGTTTTGTAATTATGGTCAGATTCCATTCAAAATAATTAGTATCTGGAGGTTTTCGAGGTCGGAAATTATGATTTCTTAATCAAAAATAGGAAAGCAAATTGGCGGATCCAATATGGCGGACGAGTTTTGTAATTATGGTCAGATTCCATTCAAAATTGGTATCTGGGGGCTTTCGAGGTCAGAGATTATGATTTTTTACAAAATTAGGAAATTCGAAATGGCGGATCCAATATGGCGGACGAGTTTTGTAACTATGATCCAATTATATTCAGAATTGGTATCTGAGGGTTTTCGGGATCGGAGATTATGGTTCGTTTGTCAAAACTTGGAAATTCAAAGTGGCGGATCCAATATGGCGGACGAGTTTTGTAATTATGGTCAGATTCTATTCAAAATTGGTATCTGGAGGTTTTGAAGGCCGGAGATATGAATCATTTGTTAAAATGGGGAAATTCAAAATGGCGGATCCAATATGGCGGACGAGTTTTGTAATTATGGTCAAATTCTATTCAAAATTGGTATCGGGTGGTTTTCGGGGTCGGAGATAATGATACTTTTGTAAAAATTTGGAAATTCAAAATGGCGGATCCAATATGGCGGACGAGTTTTGTAACTATGGTCCGATTCCATTCAAAATTTGTATCTGGGGGTTTTCGGGAACGGAGATTATGATTTTATTCTTTAAAATTAGGAAATTCAAGATGGCGGGTCCAATATGGTGAAAGAGCTTAGTAATAAATAGTAGTTTGAATAACTATAATGGAACACGCTTTTATAGATAGCCAAACTCGAGGCCAAACTGAATAGAAGTAGAAAATTCAGAGTATAGTTATAAAAAACGAGATAGATTTTCGAACTAAAAAGAAGTAGAGAATGAAAATAGTAGTTTGATATACTAATGAAACACGATTTCATGGATATCCAAACTGAAAAGAAGTTCAAAACAAAATAATAAAAGTGTGTTGATGAATATTTAATTAAAAACATATTTTCTAGAAGAAAATGTATTAACAAAACAACGTGTGCCAGGTATCAGCATCAGCTATTGTAATAAATAGTAGTTTGAAAAACTAATGAAAGACGGTTTTATAGTTAGCCAAACTAAAAAGAAGTGAGTAGTAAATAAATGAAAAAATGAAGAGATATAGAGTGCCGAACTAAAAAGAAGTAGAGAATAAGTAGAATAGTTTGAAAAACTAAAGAATCCCGTTTTCATGGATAGCCGAACTAAAAAGAAGTATAAATGAAATAATGAAAGTTCTTTGATAAATATTTATGTAAAAACATTTTTTTCTAGAAATAATGTTATGGCAAAACAACGTTTGCCGGGTCAGCTAGTTGAAATATAAAAACTGACCAAGGAACTCTCATGAGAAATGTGCAAATCTAATAAAATGATGTATATAAATATTGGATGTGAGGCTTCCGAAGTTGGTCTGGTCTGGGGCTACTCTTGACTTGACAAGTGCTCGTCGTGATGGTCATTATAATGAAAGTTGTTATTAGGTCTTTATATTCATTGTTGTTTAGTCATATTTATCATCACTTCACTCATAATGCTTCATGCTATAATTAATATTGTTATGTTTGAATGTAGTCTCGTACTTTCAGCTACCCCTGAACTATTAGTGCCTATTTGAATATCACCTCTCGCAATTTATTGAGCCAAGCATTACCCCTTATGAATCGATATAGATGGACTAACCATCTCTATTTTATCGAGACATGGTGAAAACAACCCTTTTATTGTGACAATATTACGAGAGCTTCAATTATTTCCGGAAATTTCTTCGAGAACACGAATATTTTGAAAAGAATTTTCTAAATATTTGTGTTCGAGAAAATATTCCCGGATATTAATGGAAGCTAAAGTGGTATTCGGTAAGAAAACCACACTCAAATATTATTGAAAAATTACTTGGATAATGACGATTTTTGATGGTTTTGACATTCGAATATCAGGCTTTATATGTTAACTCAAAAGAATAATATATTTTTTTACGTATTATGTGTTTTTGTGAATTTCGAATTTGCAAGATTGCAAGTTTACCTACATTCGGTGTGAAATTTTCAATCGTTTTTTTTTATGTTTCTGGAGGTTATACGCCTCGTGGAACACCTCCCTTGGCAATGTGGTCCAGAGCCTCGCTGTTCGTTGGATGAACGAGTCTTTGGAAAGAGATGTTCTGCAGGTCTCCATAGTGACCACCAGGTGGTGCGAAGCCTCAACTCGACGGGGTAATCTCGCGGAGACTGCCAAGGGAGGAAAAATTGTTAATATTTCAGAATAGCATCGTCCATGAAAATATCCATAAAATAGAGCCAGATCGCCAACTTCTCTACGGTGTTCCATAGAAGTGAGTGAGTTTGTGAGCGAGGCATCACCCACGAGACGGATTGCCCTTTTTTGGACAGTAATAATAGTTTCAGGGTATGTTTGGATGCTGCACTCCGAATATGGGAACAGTATTCCAGGACAGGTTGGATCTGTGCCTTATAGATCATAAGCAGCTGACTGGAAGTGAAATAGCTCCTGGCCCGAAACAGAAAAACAAGTTTTTGAGATGCACTTTTAGCAATTGATCTCACGTGATTTTCCCAAAAAAGGTTATTGGTGATAGTAATACCAAGCATCGCAATGGGTGTCTTCAAAGGTATGGTTACTCCTGACAAGCTTATGTTGGGCACAGTGAGATCGGCTTTTCTAGAGAAAAGGCATGCTTGTGTTTTGTTTGGATTGAAATCTACCATGTTATTGCATCCCCATTCGAGAATTGTTGCCAAGTACATATTTATGTTGTCAATATTTCTTTCTCGTTCGTTTCTGATTTGTCTGGCTGGTATTGGAGCCCTGGAAGAGAAGGCGCTATGGAAGGTTCTATCATCCGCGAAGCTGTTTACTGGACATCAGGTTGCTTCCAACAAATCGTTGGTATGAAGTAGAAATAGTGTTGGTGCTAAAATTGATCCTTGTAACACCAGCATTTATGATGAGAGAGTCAGATGAAACTCTGTCGACCACTACATGGAGAGACCTGTTTGAGAGAAAACTAGCTAGCAGAGAATATAGCTGGGGAGGCAAACCATAAGATGGAAGCTTGGCGAGGAGTCCGTGGTGCCAGACTCGATCGAATGCTTTGGAGATATCAAGTGCCACGGCTAAGGTTTCACCATATTTTTCAATAGATTGCTGCCATATATGTGAGACGTAAGAGAGCAGGTCACCAGTTGATCTCTGATGAAGGGAGACATATTCCCTATCGTTGATAATACCTGAATGTTCCAGGATTGATTGAATTTTCGTGATAAGTTTGTCAATTAATTTCTCAACGAAACTGAATTGCTTCGAGAAAACATCACGAGTCAGCAGGACCCAATTCAGTTGAGTTCAGGGATGAAAGACAGGCTTATGAGATGGATTCAATCACGAATGGAATTTTATTACAAACAAAGTGAGAGGTAAAAATGTGAAATTCGGTATAAAGTTTAATTGGTAGGAAATATTGACATAGAACGAACTACATAATTGATTAAACTAGTAATTACATAACGTTAAATGTGAAATTCGGTATAAAGTTTAATAGATAGGGTATATTGACGTCGAAGGAACTACATAATTGATTAAACCAGTAATAACATAACGTACTCAATTATTTTTCAATTATACTTATAAATACTACACAGGTATTATACACCAAAATATGTTGTTTGGCGAAAAATTGCTCATTTAAAATATTTAAGATAACGGAGGTAAAGGTATTTAAATGTTTAAGGAATACTCCAACTATAAAACATTTTGTTTAAATTTTCTGAAGGAAGCGCAAAAAAAACGTGATAAGTCCAGCATGAGATACCCTACAGTTGCATTATTTCATCAGAAAAATTAATCAAAAACCTCTTTTCACATTTTCAATCTATGAATTTTCGTTTTATGTGATTTTTCATCAGTATATTCACGGACTATCTGATGAGTATTTCCCCATTATAACGAACTTCATCGAGGCTTCAAGTTCTTTATCGACTTCATTTTGTAGCATCATGGCCCTCTTCACAACTCCACGGACGCACTACTTGTCTTTTACTCGAAACGTTATCATCGATGCTTCACCGAATTCATCACGCACATCATGAGTAGATTCAATGACTTCCCGAGTACTTTACTGACACCCTTTGTACATTACGGCATTCACATACTTCATCCAGAATAGGTACCTACTTCATTGTGATTCATCGTGACTTCACTGTCTTCATCAGAGCCTTTCTGACCTAATCAGGAGGGAATTCATGAATTCTTTTGGATGAAAAATCGTATTCTTTCAATAATTCTTCTATCATAAGAGACCTAAAAACTTTATACATTCCTTCCATTCTGTTTAAACCTCGTTTTTTATAAACATAAATAAAAATACTCGAGTACGAGTACAAAAGCACAGAATCCAACCGCAATGCAACGGCGATCGAAGTAATGATTCAAGAAGATTACATGATAGTTTTCTCCCATTCAAAGACCTATACCTATCATACATTTAACAAATGTTTAGTCTTTGTAGATATTTGCAGAAGTTTCCAAAAATATTAAATGCTTGTTAGATGACTCAGTAGACTTACCTATACCAATGACAATATCATAGACAATTTTATGCATGCTGTTTGAGAATATCTGCAAGGATAATATTTTTGTAACAAGATGGTCTATATGATTCATGCAATTCGATGTATCTCTAGGGCAAGTTGATATTTATCATACATATAGGACGTGAAAAGAAATTCTGGATTGAGAAAACTCAATCACGAATCTGCGATTATAACTCATGATAATAGTACATTTGGTACTCCAATTGATTTTTGATTATATTATTCATGCACAAAATCAATTAACTCAAGATATCACGCACTTGATGAAATCCACTGCTAATGATCCGCCACTGAATTCAGATTCTATAGATATTCATTGAAATAACCATTATACAGTAGATATGAATTATATGAATTATTACCTTCTTCATTCTATTTGTGATTATCAGGTTGTCGTCGATTTTGATCATTCTTAGTGAAAATAAAACCTTTTTAGACTTTAGATGCACCTGTCCGTATAGATCATGTCATTATCAGCCTTATTTTTCTATTATAAAATAATATGGCGATGGTGTCAACTATCTCTACCAACATTCCAATACCTGTTACTAAAGTTCCGAGATTTTATAGGGATAACGTTCTCAGTGGAATTCCTACTATCAGATAATAGAAACTAGATACTTTCATGTTCAGATTGTATCTCATTCGGTTTCTCAGTAAAATTTTCGTGATTTTTTACACAGATATCTATCATAAAGCTGACGCCCTTCGGTATTTGTGTGTTGTAAAAATGACATGACATCAAAAAGGATTCAGGCACATCCCGAAATATCTAACCTACTGATGAGAATATATGCAAAACATGCTGCAGTCTTACAATATCACAATCCTCTTATGAAAAATTGTAGTTTGTAATTGAAGAATTTAATATATTGTCATAACCCCACTGTCATTATGTCTTATGTCAGCTTTCACTTCATGTCAAAGAAATTCTGTTTTCTATTTTTGATTTCTGACACCCTTTGCCTCGCTTTCCTGGTTCACTGTCCAGCAATGTTGGAATTCTTTTGATATAAAAGATTTTTTTTAAATGTCTTCGATGATATTTATACTAATTTTTTGACGAAGGTGATCCGCAGTTAATTGCGGTACCTGTTTTGCTAAATGTTTTTGGATACTTTGCCTCACGTGGTTTTTGTCTTTCTTATTTTAGTACTTCCTGTAACAATTTTGCTGATGATGAAGCTTTGAAGCTTCGAAACATGTCCCAATTTCAAATTTAAATAAAGTATAGTTTTGGTGGAGTTGACTGTAATATTTTCTTCCTGTCCTAGTATCAGATATAATAGCCAAAAACACCAATTTTGATCAGAAGGAGAATGATGATTTTTACTATAATTCAATTTTTCAGGTGTCGACCCAGACGTGGACCTCCTTCACCCCCATGGCCTCCTTGAACACCTCGCTCTAGTCCAGAAAGCAACTCAAGTCACCGTCACGATGTTCGACATCACTTGGCGTCTCAAAGACTTCTGCCAGTCGCCGCCAATACCGAATTTCGATGCGCACTTCATACAGCAAATGTTCGAGAACATGATGCCGTGCTCCATCGTCACGCCACTGGACTGTTTTTGGGAGGGGTCGAAATTGCTGGGGCCCGAATATCCAGTGTATATACCGTGAGTTTACTATTTTAGTTTGAATCAGTTTGAATCTGAAATCATTTCGGTCACGACTCTGCTTCACTTTACCACGTGCTACCACGCAGAGTCAAGATGGGCCGCAACCCAGTAACCACACCACAATAACTATAAAGTAAGTGGTCAGAAAGTTCATGACTTATGTGTCCTGAGCAGATAAAGAAATCCAAGAACGACGGCCTTCTGCATTGCTCCAGCGAGGAAATGTGCCTTGTCAGGGCCCCCTGTTATATTTCTTAATCCAGAGGGTAAATCTTCGTCAGTTTCTTGTCCTCCTTTTTCAAGACAGAGTTCGTTTTTGCTGGAGTCCAGATCTCAATGACGAACTTCTTATATGGTTTTAGTTAATTGAGGAGCAGACCAATTAACCATATTTCAGTTGGAAAGGGTTAGACATTTTGTGCTGTTTGCGAGGCTGTTTGTTAGCGGCAGTAACTGTCAAATTGAGTGTCATTTTTTTGTCGTGTGCATTATCCGAGCATTATCCTTAGTCAATGTCAGTATAATTAGTCTTGCTCTTATTTTTCCATGATTAACAATTCAACAGTTTTTGATTCTATAGAAATATGATGATTTTGATAGTGACGCCGATTTGTATTGGCATTTGACACCTTAGTAGCCAAAACCTTGCAAAATCAAATGTATAACCCTTGAAGATATGGTGAATTATCTATGAACAGACTCAGTATATCCTCCGGAGCGTATAATGAATTGTTATTATTGTTATTACTATTTACGAGATTATTGGATATTTATTTATTCATGGATATTTCAGCATAGTCCATGTTATCTCTAATGATGTTTGTAGATTTACAGGGTGTCCGCTAAAAGGAGGTCAATCCATTAACCATATATTCCTTGAACAAAAACAATATGAGTTTCTAAATACCATTTTTCATTTGAGCCCTTCATATTCGATATACAGGGTGTCAAAGTTGGAAATTAAAAACTGTTTTTTTCTAATTACTCGCGTATTTAATATGATATCAATCTCACAATTGGTACATTACTTCAGCACAAAGAGTAACATCGTGTGAGGAGAACAAAACAGAAAATAACTGTCAAATATTCAAAATACTGGGGGTCAAGTACACACTTACCCCCATTTTTTTTTTGTACGTGCGCTAATGACATCCTATATATTTTTCTTCAGTGTTCAAGTGTTCAATCATTCTTGAGTATTTTTTGTTTCTTGTGAAATTTCGATAAAATTATTTGTTTTTAAGATAATTCCGAGGATAATTCGAGAAGTACTGGTTACTGTTTGATGCCTATATATGCGACTTACGGTAATCTCATAATGTTCACATACTCCTATTTATTTCGTCGAAATTGGAAGAGGGCGTAATTTTTTACGTACAAGAGCTGAATATCGAAATACCGAGTGTTCAGAGCGAATGTATTGAAATAATTTTTACAAAAAAAAATGATAGAAATTCAACACGTCTAAATGCATTGCCCTTTTAATTATAGAAAATCTTAGCCTTTAAAAAATATGTGGCTTATACACAAAATCTTTCATACATCCACAGACAATCCTGATCTGCTATTTCTTTCATCAATTAGCTATTGAAATCATGGATATCATAGTTTCACCAAAAATTTCCGAGAATATTTTTTACAATTTTTTTCGATTTTATTTCCCGTACGTTCGCGCCCGAAAATATTTTCAAAAAATGTGCTGTTCTCGAAAAAAGAATCAATTTAATAATTCTTTAAAAGGGTGGGCTCGTCAATCGACCCCTCCATCCTCCTAAAATCATTATTTACCCGAAATTCCAAAAAACGTTTTTTTTTTATTTGACCGCTTAAAAAAAATTTCACGCCGTTCGATTGGCAAAAAAAATGTATTCGACATGTGCTCACATTTTTTATTTATTTTTTGTAAAAATTATTTCAATACATTCGCTCTGAGCACCCGCTATTTCCATATTCTCCTTTTCGTACGTAAAAAGTTACGCCCTCTTCCAATTTCGAAAAAAATAGGAGTATGTGAACATTATGAGATTACCTCGGAGATTACCGTAAGCCGCATAGGCATCAAACAATAACCAGTACTTTTCGAATTATCTTAAAAACAAATAATTTTATCGAAATTTTACAAGACACAAAAAATACTCAAAAATGATTGAACACATGAAGAAAAATAGATAGAAAGTCATTAGCGCACGAACAAAAAAAATATGGGGGTAAGTGTGTACTTGACCCCCAGTATTTTGAATATTTGACAGTTATTTTCTGTTTTTTTTTTCTTCACACGATGTAACTCTTTGTGCTGAAGTAATGTACCAATTTTGAGATTGAAATCTTATTAAATACGCGAGTAATTAGAAAAAGACTGTTTTTAATTTACAACACCTGTATATCGAATATGAAGGGCTAAAATGAAAAATGGTATCTAGAAACTCATATTGTTTTTGTTCAAGGAATATATGGTTAATGGATTGATCTCCTTTCAGCGGACACCCTGTATATTGGTTCTTTTTTTTTTGCTGTAGATAATCGAACTGGAAACATTTCAAGATAAAAAATAACTTGCTGTCCCATCTAACCCTTCGATCTCTTCTAGAGATGTTCTCAGTTCCTCGCCATAATGTTGGACGAAAATGTCAGTATATATAGTGCATTTATATTGAGGGTTTCAGGAGGTCTGCTGAAAATGACCTTAGATAAAAACGTATTCGCATTCTGAGAACTAAAATGGATTGATTTTTAGGACGAAAAAAGTAACTGGTGATCAACAAATAAGATTGACTGCCCCGTGTCCGATTTTAATGCGGTATCTCTTTTCCACCTATGTTGATCTAGTTGAAGACTATACAAATACCTACTAATCATTATTCATTAATTATATAGTACATCTACGATCTGAATTCTCTTTCGTGGTTTTATTTTGAAAAAATCGAAAACTATAAGAATTTTTGTCTACTGTCTTAGTATCAATTCTGATCCTAATAAGAATATAAGGCATAATTATTAAAAAAACCCAAATTCGATCTTCAATATATGATTTTCTTTTTTGTAATCTCTTGGGAAAAAATGTAGTGAACTCCACTGATGCAATCAACTATTTCCGAACTCCTGCGGTCAGTTATAAATAAACTACTCAAACGTCAAGACATAGAATATAGAAGACGTATATATAGGTATCGCAATATATCAGTAAAAACTCAATCTCAACGACAGCTTACGATATAGTACACTTTTGACCCGACAGGTATGCAAGAGAACCGCTCTATTAGGTAAAATTAGGGTGGTCACAGCTTTCTGCACACCTGTCGACCCACAAAAATGGTCGCTAGTTCGGTATTTCTTTTTAGTTTCACTCCGCCAGGCTGTTTGAAAACTCAATTCACGCTCACGAACATCTCTATACTGGAAGAAATTTTGCCATGTTGCCAAGCGTAGTGCGTTTACATTCCTGTACAGCTAAAAAGAAAATCATGTTACGTATAAGTATAGGTAGGTTATTTATTATTTGTATTTCGTACAATAAACTCTATTCACCGCATATTCCTCCCTCAGAAAATATCAGTCAAGATCAAAAACCCTATCATGAATCATGAGTATTCCTGAAATCAACCGAGATTTTTTTTTGCCAAATCACCATTTGTATACATACAGGGGTTAAGCACATTTCCAATACCCCGTGACCCATCTTTTTCAAATTTACTAGATAGTATACATACCTACTTGATACGTTTAATTTGGAACTGACAGTAATAATTGTTGCTACATCCTTCGTGTTTCTGAAACTCTTCTTCTTCATTTTGAATGTGACACATTATTATTTTACAGTGTTCATCAAAAGTTCCCTCTTTTTGTCTTCAATCTCAAATGGTTGGACACTTAAACTTATCAAATTCTGAATATGATAATAAATTCTCAACGATGATTACGTCACCATTTATCACTTAGAAATTATTTTATACATCAAATAATATCCACATTCCAAATTTCATTTCTTACTTCAAGTACCATCACCATCAATTACTAGTAAAAAAATAAGGGGACTTTTGGCTAGTTCATTTATGTTATTCCATATTCCATAGGGAAGGGATTTAACGATACCTAGATTGAAAAGGACAGGTCAAACTACTATGAACATTCTCATTTTCACACTTGTTATATAATATACAGGGTGTCCCTAAATAATAAATAAAGGATATAACTGCAGATTCTAGGAGCAAAAATAGTAAAAAAAGTATTTATAAACATGGGTCGAGAAATGACCCCTTGGGGTTACAGTCATCTAAAGGCGGGCCCGAAATGGGGATTTTTTGTGAATATCTTTGAAACCCTTCTGTATTGAAATTACCTAATTTTGTGAGCGGACTCAACTTTTCATGTCCAATTAGAAAATGTTGAGGATATTTCGAAATTTTGATCAGGGGCGTGGGAAAAACCAGTTTGACCAGGAAATATGGAAATCCCAACATTTTTAGTTAAGAAGGTATATAGATACTCCTGTTTAGAAACGATAGCATTAACCGTTTTCAAGATGGATCGATTTTAAAATTCTGCTGCGTAATAAAAACAGTGCTCTTTCCTCAAACCATAATTATATTTCAATGTATTCTTTTCGTTGCACCCCCGATATTTTGAATCGAAACATGAGAGGTAGATGTTAGAAGAAGGGGTATTTTCCAACACTACTTTTTGGAAAAATCGAACTTTTTCGAAAATGAAAGCACTAATTTTATTATGTCGGAACCAAACAAGAGTACCTACCATTATCAAGTATAAATGTTGATATTTCCATACTTCCTGGTCAAACTGCCAAAAATTGCATACACAAACAAGTGGAGGAACAAGTTGAGGAAAGTAGTACCCTCTATAGCCCAGTCGTTCTCAAACTCATTTTGCCCATCGCATACTTTGAGAATAAAAATTTTTGTAGCACCCCAAAAACTTTTTAATAATAATAATAATATTAAATTATGTTCCCTCTCTGGGATTGGACCAACTTGGAGAACTCT